GACTCGTTAAACGCTAAACTACTCTATCTTTTTTGTTTTCTCTCTTTAAAATTTGTACTTGTTTGGTTAACGTCTTTTCGTCTTTTTTTTTTTTTTATTTTTCTTTCCCTTATTCTTTTCATCTCTTTTTTTTTTTTTTAAGGTACTCCTGACTTCCATGAAAATAATAATAATAATAATAATAATAAAAAAATATCGAAGAAACTTAGAGAAAAGAAAAAAAAGGTTATAAAGATATTATAACGAATAATAAGGGTAATACTTTTGAACGTGTTCTGACTCATCGCGGTAAAGTTTGGCCATTTCATTCATGCCAGTATTAGGTACCACGACAACGGAAGTAGAAACCCGGACCAGCGGCTGACGTCATTTCCGGAAGAAACGTATCCGGCGTCACGTTGCATGGCTTCCGTACGTTCTCCTGAAACAAAAAGAAAATAACATCGTTACTTCTATCTATGTATATATGTATGTATACATATATATATGTATGTAATGATACTACTCTTGACTAGGTTATTCGTATCAACGTTCCTCTCTTGGGCTGAGAACTCATTAATAAATGAGTATTTACCAAAAATAAACGAAATCAACGGACAGAACGTTCCAAGTTACATTTCTAAACGCACTTAACTTATTACCGGTTAATTTAAAATTTACCACAGACGATAAATCTCATTTAATACCACACTGTGTACAAGTTCCGTGTACCAGAAAAAAGGGTGGTTGACTCTTTGAACATCGATATGTATCTCTGTAAACGTTGAAACTCTTCCGTTCTATATATATATATATATATATGTTATCATTTTATCTTCATTTTCCTTTCCATTTATTTTCTCGTAAAAGAAATAAATAAAAAAAAACACGAAAGACAAATTTTTAATTTTTCTTCCGTAAAATCACGTAATTATGAAAAATTTCTAAAACTTTGTACGAATGATTCAACGACGAGCACACGATGGTACTTGATGCATAATCTAAACACCTTAAACCCCCCCCCACTCTCCTCATCGCGCAAACTACTACTACCACTACTACTAATACTACTACTACGTGCTTTTAACATTTTACATTCGAGTAATGGAATATTCTGTTTGCTTTTAAAACGTTTATCTGTGAGAAACTGGGAAAATAAAACTAGCTTAGTTAAATGCAACTTCAAATGTTATGTGACTTTTAGTGGAGTCAAGTGTACTTAAAAAAAAAAGGAACAAAAAAAAATTGTCTCAAATAGTCTAGAAGACAGGTTAATACGTGAAAAAGGAACAAACCAAAAATTACTCCTCGTGTTTAAACATTAACGTAATAAATGACACGTAATAACAAATATTTGTATCAATTTATTCAACTTTATTTTTATTTCCTACCTTTTTCAAACAAATGAACACATTTCTCAATCTTTATTAACTAAATAATTATAATTATTTGAATTTGATCATTTAAGAGAAAATATTGAAAAAGATAAATAAGTGTGGTTAACCAAAATGTAAGAAAGTCATTTTGAATCTTGAAAGTATTGATGTATTAGAAACGTTTAAGTTCAGGTATGCGTCTAATAGCAATGACGATGGTTTGGCATTGGTAGGAAAGCCACGTCGTTACCTATACGAATCGTCCAGTCAATAGAGAGGACCCAAAGCTAGTGGGATAATCGCTCTTACGTGTGAATAACGGCCTTTAAAGACGTGCACCGCTCATGGTACCTTGTCCTATGTACTATGTACTATATACCATGTGTATACATACATACATATATATATATATGCACCAAATGAAAGAGGATATATAGAGAGGAAGGGCATATGATTGTCGTACGCACGAGTCAAGCGAAGCAGCAGCAGTAGCAGCAGCACGTGCACGTGCACGTAAACTCGTAGATGTTCGTGTGTGTGAGTGTGGGTGTAAAGCATGCGACGTGCCCTTCGCATTGCTAGAGTAAGCTTCAGTAAAGTGTTCGATGAATCAAATAGGAGTATAAGGGTGAGAGAGTAAGGGTTAAATCCTTGAAGCACGTTCGATTTGCTACCTGCACTCGGAACACCGATAGTTGGACGATGCGTACCACCCCCTATTGCTTGCGGTTTGCACAATTTAGTCCGCATTTCAAGCTACGGCAAGTCTACTTAACACTTCCAATGCAATCCCATGAAACTCGAAGAATGTCGTTAAATCATTCGTACCATTAATTTTCTCTCACGATATTATTACTACCACATTTACAAAGATTTATTATTACAGATCATCGACTATCATCTTCATTAAATTACTATCTCTATTTACAAGAATATACTACAAGTTGTTTCTATTTGTATCATTTTTTATACAAATTTGTTTCATTCTTTTATATAATCAATTTTAACATTAAACTCCTAACACACGCATGGTCAAATGAATTGGGTCCTGTCATTTTGTAAGATGTGATAATTTGTTAATTTATTTCTAAATAAAATAAAGTATAATATTGTTCATTATCCAATTGGACTAAAATCTCATAGGTTTAATGTTAACAACATAAAAAAAAAAAAAATAGAAAAAGAAAACTTATGGAGTTTTGGAAATCCCATACGCGATTCACTTGACAATGCTCGAGTCATCGACTCAATTTATGACCACTTTAAAGATTTTTAAATATATATATATATATATACATAGAATAGAACGAAGTGCACAAGTTCACGAAGAGTTTAATACCTAACGGCTCCCAAGGCCATCGTTCTACCTATCTTCTGACTCAAAGTCAATTTCTCTCTTTCTCTCAGTCTCTTCGTCTTTAACTTTCTTCCTTAGTCTCTACCCCTATCTTCTTCTTCTTCTTCTTCTTCTTATGTTTCTTCCGTGATCACATAATGAAAGACGTTATTAAATTCTACCATCTCAAATAAATCAATGCAGAAAGAAAGAGAAAGAGAAGAGAGAGATGAGAGAGAGAGAGAGAGAGAGAGAGAGAAGAGAAAACAAATTTTCTTCTACGTTTCTCATCACGATTTGATGAGAGAGAGAGAGAGAGAGGATCTTTAAACGATTTATCAACCGTTGCGACTTTCTCATTTTCAATCATTCATTTCTCTGACAAAATTTCCGTCCCGCAAAATGACTCTCCTCCCCTCCCCTCCCCTCCCTTCCATTGCAATTACAAATTAAATTCATCACGTAATAGTACGAAGCAAATGACGAGTAATATTCTAATATTTTACGAACTTAAAAAACTAACAAAAGTTATCGAGTTCTCTTAACGGGTAGTTTTTGTTATTTGTAATAAAAAAAAAAAATTGTAAATTTCTCTCTCATCTCGAATAGAATAACGAAAAGCTGAAAACGTAATATATACAAAATCCAAACTTTTCCTTCGCAATATTATAATAATCCGGTAATCATTGGAAATAAAAGAGGGGGAGAGGGGCGGGAAAGAAAAAGAGAAAAAGAAAAATGAAAAATACTGCAGGGTTCGTGTTCCCCTCATTAAAGACGAGAAATACGATCGACTTTCTATTTGCATTATTTACGTAAAAAAAAAAAATAAATAAATAAAATAAAAAGATAAAGATAAAGAAAATAAAATAAACAACGAGAGATAAGGGAAAGAGCAAAAAAAAAAAAGAAAAATAAAAAGAAAAATGAAAAGAGAGTGAAAGAGTTAAACTGCTTCGCGTTCAAACGAGTTTTCACAACGAACTGAAAAGAAGAATAAGGTAGAAAGAGAAATACTTTCTTACTTTTATATATATATATATATATAGATCGTACAAAACGAAATTAAATAAATAAGAACAAAAGGCATACGGATGAAGGAAGGAAGGAAGGAAGGAAGAAAAGAAGGAAGAAAAGGTGGAGCTTTATAAAAGTGAACGGGGACGAACACACAGAGAGAGATGGGCCGGTGCTAAAGGAGTGGCAGAAGAAAAAGAAAAAAGGGGGGTAGAAGAGGAAATGATTCAGAAACGACCTCCTTCTCCTCCTACTCCTCACCGTTTTTCTTTTCGCGAATGATATACCCGAAGAAGTAGCCGGTCTACGAAAAAAAAAAAAAATAACAAAAAAAAGAGGAAGGTATGGGTGGAAAGAAAGTGACGGGCCAAGAGGGGAGAAAAAGGGTAACCGGGGAAGAAGGAAGCGGCACTTGATTTGAGAGATAGCGAAATTAAAAGAGGGCACTGGAGAGAAAAACTTTGAACCTGTACCCTCGAGACTGAAGAAAGAACGGCCAACAAAAAAAGAAAGAAAGAAAGAGAAAGGGAAGACTGGCAGGTGATGGTCGATGAAAGAAATGAAGGGATGAGGAATCTTGGAAGAATCGGGTGAGTGGGTGGAAGAAAGGAAGGAAGGAAGGAAGGAGACCGATGGGACGAAGTACGAAAACTCAGTGATGTGCAATTAGGAAAATTGAATTCCAGCGTAATTAACTTTCTTAATTAATAGAATCGTTGAATTGTATCTTTCAACTGGCCGACAGAAGTGGTCTTGGCAGGCTGGCTCTTCCGTCATGAGAACGTAAGTGACGGGATCCCGAGGTAGTAGTAGCTCTAGGTAGGGAGGAAAAGGTGGAAGGAAACGTCGTCGAGAGTTGCCAAGGGTTGAAAGAGGTTGGAGAGCAAATGCACTGGGTGATGGTGATGGTGATGGTGATGGTGATGGTGATGGTGGTGGTGGTGGTGGCGGCGCCGGCTGCAAAGGGCTTGCTTCCAGAGCACTAGTCGTTGTAAGTTTTGATATATGCGCGACGTTATTTACGATCGCATAAGAATTAGCTCAGACAGCTACCGAACCAAGCACCAACCCCTTTTGCCTACCATCCTTCTTTCCCTACCACCCATTTTACCACCCTCCCCCACCCCCATCCCCCTCCATCCCTTTCTTCTCTATCTCTTTCGTTTGAAAGGTACTACTCGGAGCTTGGTTTGCAACAACAAAAAGTCTTCCTGCTAGCTACTGTACTCGAATCGCCTTTTTATCGGCTTACCGAGTTCCAGTCTTCTCCTAGCCAAAAATCCGCTGCTGAATCTTCTTCCTTCCCTTTCTCCCTTCCTTCCTTTTTTCCCTTTCTTCCGCTTACCGCCCGCGCTCTCTTCCACCGCGCAAATGACTTCCTTTCGTCGTCGTCGTCGTCGTCGTCGTAGTTCTTCTTCGATCGTATAGTTTACGATGGCAAGCACTTTTATCTCGATGCGACGTGTTTTAGTAGTCCCCAAAGACGATAACCAAAGTCGATCGAAACGGAAAGCACGGTAACCGACGCATAAAAGATAACTGATAAACTAGCCGTACTAAGTTAAGAGGGAGAGAGAGAGAGGGAGGGAGAGCAGAAAGAACGTCCTTTTTTCCTCCTTAAATCTTCCTTCCGTGAAAGGGTTGAACGATTTTCGATGAAACTATGATTTATCGTTTTCGAAGAACCCGAACACAACGCGTTCGCATGGTATTTGTATTCACGATGCGAATTAGCGGTTTTGATTCAACCGTATATATGCTTTCGTCAGGGACTTGTTTTATTGCGAACGACATCGAGAAATCGAAAGACAAAAAAATGCGAGAACGAGTCGTTCGTCACGAGCGCAAGTACGATTTTTTTTTGTGCTCCCGCAATAATTTTCGAAAAAAAAAAAAAAATTCACGATAATAGAGAGAACATTCTGCATTCGTGCACTCTTCAATGAATTCCACCTGCATCGTTCTCTTTCTCTTTCTAGATATCTTACCCTATCCTTGTTTATGATTCCTTTTTTGTTTTTCTATTCAAACCTCTGTTCAACTCTTTTTTCCTCAAAGAAACCCAAACCAAGAGATTCCTTCTTTTTACAGGCACGTATACAGCATTGGCTTATTTTTTTTTTTCTTTTCTTTTTTCATCTTTCTTCTTCTTCTTCTTCTTCTTCTTCTTCTTCTTCTTCTTCTTCTTCTTTTGCTCTACTTTTTCTTTCCTTCCTTCTTTCTTCCTACAAGCAACCACGTCGGCTTGCCAGCTAGGCAAATAGTTTCCGCGTGAATTATTACAACCGGCTTCTCAAAAGTTTTAAGTGTTTCGAGTAATCCCGAGGACGCGTGGCGAGCTTTAGATCGGCTCGAAAGGAACGGGTTTGTTCTCTTGTACATATATATATATATATATTTTTCGATTTCACGACATAGGTAAGTAGCTACGTACACGTTCGCATACGTTTGCTAGAGATGCGAACATTTTTCTACCGAAACGTACGAAAGAACGAACGAACGAACTTTTCTACGACGATTTAAGAAATAAGTCCTCGAAGCTTTTTTCTCTTACCTACTTTCCTTTCTTTTTTCTTTCGGAAAAAATCCCTTTTTCCGAACGAATTGAAAAATATCTTTTATCCAACAATATGATATATACATATATATATATATATATATTTTATAACAAACCTGGTTCAACTATCAGCATGATGGTATCCGATCGTCCCTCCGCTGGTCTGCACGAATACTTTCCTATATCATTTTCCGTTAAAGCAGCCAAAGTCAATTCAGAAACTGTTTGTGCCGCTCCTTTTTCAGTTTCCACATTTATACCACCGCGAGCTGCCTGAAATAAAGAAACAAAAGAACCCTTTTTTTTCTTTTTTTTTTTTACAATGGTTTCGACGATCTTTCAATGACGAATAGGATTAATCGTTTTTTTCTTTTCCTTTCTTTTTTTTTTCGCATGTGGTGAAAAACCAGCTGCGTGGGAGAGAGAGGATGAGGAGGAGCTTTCGCGCTACGAATGAATGACTTCGATTTTTTTTCTCTACACAAAACCGAAAAAAAGGAGAAAAGAACAAAAAACAAAAAAGAAAAAAAAAAAAAGAAAATGGAACGCTTCGATAGCATCGGGCCGCGGAATCGTTATTACACTTCGACGTTCATGAGCAGTTCGAAACCTTCCTCTCCACATACACACACACACACACGTACACAGCAAACCCCCATCTGCTCGCTAGATGAAAAACTCGAACGAGAAAGGACAGTGTTGGATTCAGAAAAATTCATCACTCCCGCGTACCTCTACCAACACAACGCGTAGGGGGATGAACGATGTGCGAGACGTGAAATGATCGAACGGGGGTGCGCTGAAACTTAAACGAAAAATCCGCAAAAGACAGTAAGCGAGAAAAGAAATAAAAAAAAAAAAAAAATAAGAAAAATAAGAAAAGAAGAAGAAGAAGAAGAAGAAGAAGAAGAAAGAAAGTTGAAAGAAAACGCGTGACCCACATTCGCAATAATGATTTACGAGGGTTTTCGTTTTACCTGAGGTGCTGCTGTCTCGCGACACAGGATTTTTCTTTTTTACTTATACCGATAGAAGCATCAAAACGGAAATTTCATTAAAGAGCAGTAGCAGCAGCAGCAGCAGCAGCAGCAGCAGCAGAAGCAGAAGCAGCACGTCGTCTATCCGTGCCGATAAAATTTGGAACGTGCTGAGAGCACCCGACATTACCTGGAATGTTAGGAGTTTGTTATCCCGAAGCCATTGTACACCCCTGATGGGACGAGTCTGATATGGAGACGATATGACGCATCTTAGGGTGATCGTCGATCCCGATGGTACCCTTTGCTCTCTAGGACCCATTATAGCCGCCACTGGTGCCGTACTTTCGTAACCTGAAAGTCATGTTCCAACAAATATCATACGTCACTCAAGAAAATTCGATATGTGTGACCCTTTTCTATCTATATCTATCCTTTCTTTTTCCCCCCATCTATTCCATCTATTCTCAAACTTAACTTGTTATAACAACTATCGTTTAATCTTATGTAAAATAACTTATGGTATTTGATAAAGTCTAATTATGAAAATGAATTCGATTTAATCCAGTTGACTGTGAAATTTAGTTTCAAAAGATCACCACAGGGTGTTGTGAAATTAAAAACAAGGAAGAAGGAATCACAATCAGTCCGATACACACGTCTTTAAGTCGAACGAATTACCTTATACCGTCATCTGTTAGAATATTATCGAACTAACAGATATAATCATGACTATTTGTTAATAAACAAATAATTCGCAATAAAATAATAAATACAAACTATCCTATCTTTCAAGTTGGATGAAACTGCACACAGTGTGCTAAATTTGATTAAAATTGGTTCATTAGTTTAGGAGTTCATTGAGGACAAACAACGTGACACGTAATTTAGTTATATTTAGATGGTAATTTTTTATTTTACACGACGTGTATACACGTCAAACGTACCGCAGTAGAGATTTGGTCCGACGTGTATGCACGTCGAACGCACTTAACTGGTTAAATGGTAATGGTTTAACTGGTTAAAATTCTACTCTACTAAGAAATTAATCTTTTTCTTCGTTTCATGCTTAAATGCATCACCAATTAACACTACTTGCAAGCTCGTATTTCTTCTCCTTATAACATAATTCGTTTGTAGCAGAGGACTGTTCCCATTTAATAGCGAGGAGTCTTCCTTCTCTCAATGAAATAACGTTCCAAAAATCTTTCCTAAATTTCATTTAGATTAAACATTAATCTTTCGACAATTTCGTAGAAAAAGATATTTCTACGACGTTCAAATTGACGTTTATAACGATTGCATTTTTTTCATTGGGAGTAAAAAAACTCGCGTTAAAACTTGTCGGAGATGATAATTGAATACTTGCTAATACTTTAATTGGTTTCAATGATAAAAAAAAAAAAACAATGTCATCATAGGATTGTTAAATTAATTAGACTAATGAGATAATTTCATAGTTAATAGTTTTATATTAATATATATAATTGTAGATCTAATGAATAATTATATTTAATTAGATAAAATTAAAAAAAAATATAAAAAGTAATAAAATAAACTTTTGCGATTTCACTCAAATTTATGAGGGGAAAAAATATGATATAATATTTTTGTTAAACTCGTAATAAGAAACAAATATTATCTTGAAATATATGATTTCCGTTTAAAAAAAAATTGGGTTTGTTATAAAAATAAAAAAAGTTCGTTCAAATTGAATAACTTTTCATTACTGTAAGTAATATTCCAACTGGAATATTAAAAATGTTTTGATCAAAATAAAATTTTCAACGCATATATGAAACTTGTTTGTTTGTTTTTTTTTTTTTTTTTTTTTCCCCGACCAATGGTCTCAATCAAATTTACCCGAGTATACGAAAATGAATAAACAAAAAAATTCAAATAGTAACACGAATGAATTTAAATATTATTTCAATTAATACGACGGAGAATGCATAAATGCCAAAGGAAAGAAAAATTATTAAAAAATATAAAAGAGAAGAAGAAGAARAAAAAAAGGGAAATATGAAACAGTGGTATAGTCGTAACGAAAGAAGTATTAAGCATAATATTTTGTTACATTGAAGTAAAATAAAAAAAAATAAAATAATAAAAAGTCTGGTTGTAAAGATACGAAAGAAGGAAATATACATTCATCCCTCTGTTAGATAAAATTCAAGAAATACGTAAAAATTCATTTACTTCTTTACCCAGTGTTTCTTCTTTATCCATTAGAGATAGACAAATAAAAAAAAATTATACTTAAGTAAGCTTTATGCATATATATATTTATTTATTTATTTATTTATTTATTTATTATACCAGAAAAAAGGTTAATACATAGAAAATCCTACAAGAGGTAAACATAGTTACCTAGGCTAGTACATACATATGTACATAGGCTTACTAGTACATATTAAAATTACTAATACTTAAAACTAAGAAAAATAAATAAATTGAAATAACATTATATAAAATTTAAAATAATTGTCAACAGTGATATATCAGTATTTAGTTATTAATGTAACAGTATTTAGTTATTAACTATATCACATATTACACTTTTTAATTTACGTTTAATATTTATATTAAAATTATTTATTAATATAAATATTAATAATTATTATATTATTATATATTATATAATTAGGTAATTAGGATATTTGGAGGTACAGGAAGGGGGGAGGGGGAGGACAATGGTTTCCCCTGTATGAGTCTTAGGAGATAAATATATATATATATATATATATATATATATATATAAATATAATATTTAAAAAAAAAAATGAAGAAAATATAAATAAAAAAGAAATATAACAAGGTCGTCATTATGAAATAAGTAGAAGGGTATAATGGATAAAAAAAAAGAGAAAGAAAAAGAAAAACCGTCTATTCGTTGAGAAGTTTCCTTAAACCTACCCTTTTTCGAATGAATATCTTTCTTTAAAAATAACAATGAGTCAGCAGAGGAGAAGTCAGGGTAGTGTCTTTCCTATCTACGTACGTACCTACCCAAAGCATTGTTAGCTTACACTCACTCTCTCGTAAAGAATAGCAAAAAAAATAGAAAAAGAGAGAAAAAAAACTCGGCTTTCGTATTATCTCTCTTTCCTCTCTCGCACTTTTTTTTTTTATTCATAGTAACACTAGTAGCAATGGTAGTAACAGTAATAGTAATAGTAATGGTAATGGTAGTAGTAGTAGTAGGTTTGTCTTTCCGGATGATTTCCCTTGGAAACGTAATTAGTGATTCTCTCGTATGTTCTCACACGATTTTCGTTTTCTGTGTTTCCCAAGTATTAATATTACTACTATCCCATCAAAATCACAGAACCCACTGTAGTGGGTTCGACATTTACGTATAAAACTCGTTACAAAGTTTCAAATTCATCGATCGTATAATTTCGAGTTTAGAATGTTCGTCGACGTTAAGGATATACCTCTTTCTATCTTTATATGTGTGTGAATATGTGTGTGTATGTGTGGGTGGGTGTATGTGTGCACCCAACGAACGATCGAAATTCATTCTTGGATAACTTTTAAAGATAGTAAGTCTCGTAGTTTGAATTCAATCAACGAACGGACATTCTATTTTTTTTTTTTTTTTTTTTGATATCTCTCAAAACTTTCTTCTAAAGAAAAGAAAAAAATCAAAATGAAACAAATCGAGATAGGGATCGAAATTTTTCATCATTTGCATTTAGTTTGGATGATTTTTCCTGATATCTGTCTTTTTCTAAAAAATTAATTAGTCAGTCAAAAGAAAAAGAACAAAAACCCCTTCTTTCGGGCTTCGTTTTAACGTTCGACGAAATAATTCGATAAATATTTAAAAGCTCTTTTATTAAAAGTTTAACTTCTTACCTTTTGGATGAATATCATTATTTAAATAAAAAAAAAAATAAAAAAAACATTGTACTCTCTACCAACACCTTTATACAAATCGTTACACATCGCAACAACGGATGAAATTATATATTTCTTCTTCATCATCATCTTTTAGCGAGAATAAACGCAAAATCGTAATCTCAATTCATTTAACCGAAAAGACATTTTCTCACGAACGTCTTCTCGTCGGCATATTAAAACGCGACCTACTTAAAACTCACAGTTCGTGGACTCGACGACGAGACTCAAGACTCGAGACTCGAGATATCTTTCCTACAAATTTGAGTTTGAAGTGCGAACAAACAAGGAAAACTACGACTACGACTACGACGACTACGACTAAGACGACTACGACAAGTTGCTGCTGCATCTCGTTGTCGACAACAGAGAAAAAGAAAAATAAGAAAAAAAGAAAGTGTTGAGAAAAGGTACACCTCCTTCTCCTTCTTGGTACTACGCGGTGCTGTAATAATTCATTAGTGTTCGTGAGAAAAACAATGGACGGGAGAAGTGCCAGTTAGAATGAAAAAAAAAAATAAAAAAATAAAATAAAATAAACAGAAAAAATGAAAGAAAAAGAGAGAGAGAGAGAAAGAAAGAAAGGGTCAAACGGAAAGAAACATAGAAGAAGAAAATGATGGACACTGTGAGTCCTATGATATTACTCTCATGATAATGTCAGTGAGGGATACGCATACATTACTCGAGAAAAAGACCTTAGCCAAGACTAATTTAACGTAGCAGCAAACTCTTTTCTTGTCCCTTGATACTCCGATGAGCCCTGTTGGTTGACTGCGAAGAACCAACGAGAGAAGAAGGATGATACTAAGAGAACGTGAGAGTAAAAGAGAGAGAGAGAGAGAGAGAGAGAAAGAGAATGGGAAAAAGTGAGGAGGAGATAGAGAGACCGTCGGTAAGGGCAGTACCGCAGGACTAGAGGGATTAAGGATAATCCTATTAGACTTAAATTAATCCCACAGGAACTGCATTTCACCTGGCGAAATATTACTTTATGCCGTTATTACTGTACCCCATAGAGGTGTATGCTTACGCTATTTATTGTCTTTCTCTTTACCTTTCCTACCTACTTACAAATAAATACATATATATATTTATGTATGTATGTATATGTATCAGTGTTTAATTGTATAGTCCAGTTAAATCATAGAAATCTTTAATTTTGTTAGAAATAATTAAACGTTTTTCAAAAATGTATTAAAAGTACAACATATTATTATAAATTAATAGAATGGTTTTGAAAAGGGAATTATACAATGTTACATTTTGATGTTAATGTTTCAAGAATAATATTTTACTACGTTGATGCATTTTTAATATCAGGTTGCATATGAAAATCTTTTACAGTGATCGATAATATTATTCTTATCTCAGATTGCTATTCTATTCTATAAAAACAAACAGATGAGTGTGTGGAGATCACACACGGTAGAAGTGAAACTTCCAAAGAAAACCAAGCTTCAAAATAATTGAATTGTAATACAGTGTAATACAGTTCGCATGTTTTATCGGGAAATAAAAGTATAGCGATTATATATATATATATATATATATATATATATATTTTTATTTATATTATTATATATAAAATAGAAAGGGGATAGAAATATTTCACCAACGTGTTAACCGAACCTTGTTGAATGTCAACAGACTAGAAAAAATTCGATTTTTATATATCGATCTATCGAACAATCGATCTCTCGAACTTCGATATTTCGATCTATCGATCTCTCGAACTTCGATATATCGATCTATCGAACAATCGATCCATCGAACTTCGATATATCGATCCATCGAACTTCGATACATCGAACTATCGAAATATCGATCTATCGAATTTCGATATATCGATTATAAACTATCGATATATCGATTATCGACCTATCGATATATCGAACTATCGATATATCGAACTTCGATATATCGATTATCGAACTATCGATATATCGAACTATCGATATATCGAT